GGGCGGTGCGGGGCTGAGCCTGCGCGACGCGCCCCCTGGCGGCCGGGCCCGCCGCCGCCTGCTGGACGTGGCTGTGTGCGCCGAGCGCGCCTTTGTCGTGTACGCCATCACCAAGTTCCTGATGGCACTCGGGCTCTTCGTGCCCGCCATCCTGCTGGTGAACTACGCCAAGGACGCAGGCGTGCCCGACACCGACGCCGCCTTCCTGCTGTCCATCGTGGGCTTCGTGGACATCGTGGCGCGGCCGACGTGCGGCGCCCTGGCGGGCCTGGCGCGTCTGCGGCCGCGCGTTGCCTATCTCTTCAGCCTGGCTTTGCTGGCCAACGGGCTCACGGACTTAAGCAGCGCGCGCGCGCGCTCCTACGGCGCCCTGGTGGCCTTCTGCGTTGTCTTCGGCCTCTCTTACGGCATGGTGGGCGCGCTGCAGTTCGAGGTGCTCATGTCGGTCGTGGGCGCACCCCGCTTTCCCAGCGCTCTGGGCCTGGTGTTGCTCGTCGAGGCCATGGCGGTGCTCATCGGACCACCCTCTGCCGGTGGGCCCCGCGGGAGGAGGGGTGGCGCCACCTAGTGCCCCTAAGTCCAAGGGTGGCTCCCTCCCCGTCCCAGATGGCATTTCCAGGGGTGGGGGGAAGGGACCCATTAGGTGGACACCCCCCGCCCCGCCTCGTGGCCACTTAGCCCCTCCCCCAAGCTGGGACCTCCAGCTCTCAGTAGAGACGGGACAAGCGAGGCGAGGTGCCAGAAAGAAATTAGCTTTGATATTAATAGCCCTCCCATTTCCGTCATTTGGAGCAGTTCTCATACAGGCCCTGGGAAGTACAGATGCTTGTTCTCATTGTGCAGAAGGAAAAAGTGAGGCACAAAAGTTTAGTACAGTCAGGTCTGCCTGCTGTTAAATACACCCCGGAAATCCTTGGCCTGGGTGCTCCGGATGACCAGCCCTGCGACCGCTGGAAGGGGAGAAGGGTGGATGCTGGTGTCTTCAACCATGTGACAGTCATTGGTTCCCTAAGCATGGGGAGCAGAAAATCACGTGGTCAGGGAGGGCTTTCTGTAGGGTGGACACACCATGAACCAGCACAGGGGGTTCTGGGAGCCAGCGTTCCCAGAGGGGTGAGGCAGGAGCTAAAACTGGAAAGGTGGCACGGTCTGTCTTATGGTCTGAGGGGACCCTTGGGCGTTCTTGTGACAGCACACATGCACACACACACACACACACACTCCTAATCCCACTGAGAATCCCATTTGGTTTCGGCCCAGGACCTGCCACTCAACGCTAATAAGCAGAAATGTGTTTGTCTCCACTTTGGACTCTGCCCGCCTCTCACATCTCTTGTGCCCCTCACTTCTCAGGATAATCACAGAATTTATTGTCCAAAAGGACACTCCAAGAGTGAAAAGGGTCACCAGTTATAATGATGCTGCCGTGGCCCAGAACTCTAGGCAAAGCAGGCCGGATGGCCACTCTATTTCTCCTACTCTATTTCTCCCACTTTGCAGGCAGGATGAGCTTTGGGTTCAGGTTGTCCTGAACAGTGGGGAACTTGCTTTGGGCAGGAGAGGGCTGAGCTCAGGTGCAGGCAGAGGCCACCTTTGCCGGGTCCCGGCTGCCCATCCTGTCTTGGGGTGGGCTGGTTGAGCCTATCCTCATCAAACCTTGTCATCTCACCTGACTTAGGCAGAGCAGCAAAAGCCCTGAGCGGGTGTGGGGGACCTCGAGCCCACCTCCAGAAGCCTCAGAACTGGCCCTCCCATTTCCACCCAGAAGCTTAGGGACCCATTTCCCATTTTCACATTTGACCTGGGGTGGAGCTAAAGGCCAGGAGAGAAAACATGTGAAGTGAGAAGGTGAAGCCAGTGTGACTTATTCCACCAAAGATGCATCAGAGCTGAGTCGGGGAGGGCGGCAACCAGGATGGCAGGTTTTGGGGAGTACTGCTCAGAGGAGTTCAGGTGGGGGAGCCCCGAGGCCACAGAGGTGCCTGCCCAGGGGTCACGGCTCAGTGTGGGCAGCCACAGAATGCTCCAGAGAGAGGGTGGAGCCCAGAGAGTTACACTTTAGGGGAAAATACTTGAAGTTCAGAGCTCTTCCTGGCGATGAAAGTTCCACATGCAGGTGATAGAAAAAGGCAAACGGAGGAGGAAGTAGGCGTTCCCCTGACCCCCTAACCCTGTCCTTGGTCTGGTGCTGGAAGGCACAGGGGAAGCCTGGTCCTGGCCCCTGGAAATGGGGTAAAAACAGGAAGAGCAAGAGATGGAGAGACAGCTGGGCTGAGCCCAGTGCCATGTCCCCCAATATCACAGGGCTTGTTGTGGGGCTTGAATCAGGGGTGTCTTAGAAACTGTACAGTGCAGCTCCATGGAAGGCCCTGTATCGCTTAGAACGAGGTCCAGGAAGGGGAAATGCCATCATTAAGGACTCAAATGGCAGAACCGACTTGGGGTCGCCCCCCATCAGATGGGTGAGGCCGGGGAAGGGTGGGGTCCCTGCCATTTCTTACCTCTGTGCCCTGCCGCCCCGCCCCCCCCCAGGCCACCTGGTGGATAAGCTGAAGAACTATGAAATCATCTTCTACCTGGCCGGCTCCGAGGTGGCCCTGGCTGGGCTCTTTATGGCTGTCGCCACCCACTGTGGCCTGCGCTGCGCTCGGGACACCCCGCCTGCTCCAGGTGCTGAGAATGGGGCCAGCGACACCGAGGACGCCGAGGCGGAAGTGGACTCTGAGGCGGAAGTGGACCCCGAGACCCAGGCCGCTGGCCTTGAGACGGTGGAGGTGTTGAGTCTGCAGACCCTGGAGGTGCTGAGTCCCCAGACCGGGCCCACGGAACCTAAGGCAGAGGCAGGGGCCGGGCACCCCAAGCGGGACCCTGAGCTGGACGCCAGGCCAGACCCAGAGCCAGACTTCGAGCTGGACCCCAAGTCCATGCAGCCCGCGGCACAGTAGTGGAGTGGCTGGGTGGCTTCAGGACAAGTGGCTTCCCTTCTCAGAGCCCTGGATGCCCCAACAGGGCTGCGCACCCTGAAAGGCTGGTCTAGGGTGACCACCCTGGAGTCCAAGTCGAGGTTCCAGTCTGATTGCAGAGAACTCCCTCCCTCACCTGGCCAGGGGCCCAGGGCGGCTGCTTCCCACTCGGTGAGGCGAGCCGCGGGCGCTCGGGGTCCGCCGGGAGTGAATCGCCGCTCACGAAGCTCAGCCGAGCGAAGCGCGTCTCCCTTCCAGCGCCTCGGCCACGAGGAGGCGGCGTCCCTAGAGGCCGCACCGGGTCACACCGACAGAAGGTGTGACTGTCTATAAAACTCTGGTGCAGTGTTTCAGCAGACATTATGTTTTATAAAAAATATCCCTGTGATTAGTTCTAACAACAGAAACTCTTTGTAAGCCCAGCTTACACGTATCAAGGTACTTAGGAGGCGAACACTCTGCTCATTTATCTTCTGAACCTTCTAATGCGCTCCGGTGACAGCTGCGTTATTACCCAATGAGAATGCTGCTTCAGATCACGTGGTTCCGCCTGCCTCGCTACAGGCAAGCGCTGCGCTTGCTGCGCTTAGAGTGCGGATGTTGTTGCAGTCGCTGATTTTGTCAAACGTTCTGGTGTTTTAGCTACAATATTGTGGTAACTAGCATTTGTTAGTCTGTATCAATAACTTTTTTGAGAATGAAGTAGTAGTTAAAAGGGGAAAAATAAAAAAGGCTTCTGCTCAATTACTAATGTTGTAATTCAGTTGTTAGTATTTATGTAAGAAACATCTAAGCAGTTTGTAACTATATTTATCATATATTATTCTGTGATTAAAATTGATAATAAACATCGCTGAGGATTGTGCATGGTCTGGTATGGGAGGAGGTCCGTGGGGTGGGGGGGTGACACCGTGAGTTACCACACTGGGCGACACCGACCCACGATGCCACTGCCTCTGCGGCCCTCTGACTGGGGTCTTGAATCGGGCGGGAGTGTCCGGAGACAGCAGGGTTGGGCTCCTGCCCTGGCTCCAATGCCCCGGGTCCTCATGGAAACCCTGGGGTTTCTACCTGCATGGTGTCCTCCTGAGGTGGGTACGTGGGGAGAAGGGGTCACCACTAACGGCAGCTCGAGGGTGGGAGCTGCTCAGAGGGAGGGGGGCGTCCCCAGACCAGTCAGAGGTAACACAGGTCTCCCAGTCGTGGGGCAGGGTTTGAACCCTGGCCCTGAGGCTCAGTCTCTTGCACCCTGGAGGTTGAGTGAACGCTCCAACTTGTGGTGTGCCTGGGAGTGTGAGCCAGGCAGCAGTAACGGCCTTGGCCCTGCAGCCTTCTACGGATGTCCGTATCCCCCAGCGTCCTAAGAGGGCACCCCCAGCCAAGCTCTAGGTCTTCCCGCCTCTAGGGGGCAAACTCTCGTGCGTGGGGACTGGGCGCGGGGTCCTTTGCTGTGGACACTGCTCCACGGACACCACCTCGCTGCGGGCACCACCGTGCTCTGTGGGCAGCCTGGTCATCCCGCTGCCCCGGCATCTGCTTTCCCCCGTCAGGGGCTCACAGGGCCACCTCCGTTCTTGCACTCGGATCTGGCAGAGTCCGAAGTGCAGGGATTTCCATGTCTCACCCCAGCTCTGCTCCTGTATTCACCTTGTCCCGTGAACTGGGGCGTGGGGTGAGCAGGGCCCCGTGGAGGAAGGAGCTGTGCTCCCAGAGCCACCGGCTTTCCGGCGCGGCTCCTTCGCAGGACCTGCTGCACCAGCAACACTGCTCCCACCACTCTGGCCGCTGGACTTCATCTGCCCTCCAGGCCCCACCAAGGTCTGGGCGCCCTTCTCAGCGGCCTGGCCAGCCCCCCCGGGGGGCTGTGGTTTCCTTGGAGCCACATTTTAACACTCACGTGGCGCTCCCTTGGTGCCAGCCACTGATCGGAGCCCATCACCAACGTGAACTCACAGAATGACAGCCTACTGTGGCAGGCACATCACCCACCCTTCACAGGACAGCCGAGGCTGGGGCAGCTAGGAAGCAGCTCAGGGTCCGGTTCCAGGCTGTGTCCTTGGCTGCCATGCTGTGCTGTCCCCTTCAGAAAGGTGGTGTGATCCGATGGTCTGAGGGGCCCCATTGGGATGCCTGGTGACAGCCCCCTCCAGGCTCTCACCCCACCGGAGACTCCCACTTGGTTTCTATCCAGGACTTGCGTTGAACACTAACGGTAGAAACTAGTTTTTTCCAATTTGGACTCTGTCCACCTCTCACCTCCCCCTCCGATCACACCTGTCCAAACAGAGCCATTCAGACAGGGAAAAGGGCCACTCGCAATGACAACCTGCTGCGGGTGGCACTTCCCAGCAAAGAGGACGCATGGTCACCCCGAGTCTCCCACCTTCAGGTGGCACTGGCCTGGCGTCTCTAGTGGGCCTGTCCCCAGGGCCCAGGGCAGAGCAGGCACAGCTGGAACGGCTGGGGTGCCCTCAGCTCTTTCCTTCCATGTGGGGCCTTGGGTGCCCCCCGCATCTGTCCTGGCCTCCCCAGTCAAGGCCATTTCACAGCCAGCAGCACTGAGAGATCAACGATGAGAGAGGATATAAAAGGGCCCCAAGAGCAGAGCGCCCCGGAGGCGGGTGGGGAAGTTGAGACTTCCGAACCTAATGGTCTGAGTTCAAATCCCACTGTGTCCCTTTTACTTGCTATGGCCCTGAGCAAGATACTTCTCCAAGCCTCAGTTTCCCCATCTGTAAAAGGGAATAACAGTGCCAATCCTGGAGAGCTGCTGTGAAGAATGATGCAGGTGTAAGAACTGTCACCAAACTGTCCCACCCTCCTCCCTTGTGATGTGGAGGCAGACGAGGTCTCAGGCCACTGCAAACAGCCCGCTCCATCTGGGTTTGTGTTTATTAAATACAGGCCCAGCGCCTCAGCCCTTCCCCAGAGAAGTGGCTGAGCTAGGGGAACAAAATAAATAAAGGCCACCGAGGTGTGAGTGTGGCCAGCCCAGGGCCAGTCTGGGTACCTCGGCTCCCCACCCTGGTCCTCCCACCCCTGCCAGGCTCCAGGCGGGGCCAGCAAAGGTGCCCCCCAAGGGCTGATCCTGGACTTTATGCCACCTCCAACCTCTCTTCCTTCTGCCCTGTCTCCTTCCTAAGGCAAGTCCAGAGACTAGGCTCTCCAACTGGCTGGGGAGGTAGGGAAGGCAGGCTGGAGGAAACAGCCAAGGGAGCTGGGTCTACACCCCCAGGTCCCAAGCCCCAGCCTGGCCTCCTCGGCAGGGCCGCAGGCTCGCTGTGCTAGGACAGAGGAGCCGGGAGGCAGGCGCCCCAAGCCAGCAGCCCTTTATGCGCCCCCCCCCCCAGGTCCAGCAGCCCCGCCCGGCTCCCCTGCTGTCCTCCTCCCACTCACCCTACCCCCCAGATCCGCACCCCACAGGGGCACCAGGAGCCACATCAGCTGCCATCCTTGTCCAGGGACCCAGAAGCCCCTCGCGCATCCTGGGACGACTCCCGGGCTGCCGTGTCCTCATCCTCGTCTTCCCCATCCTCCCCGTCCGTGAAGTCCTCCTGGCCGAGGCCATAGGCCAGCGTGGTGGGCGCCAGGTCCACCTCGATGGGGAAGACGTCGGCGCCCCGCAACACGGCGTAGCAGTCATTGTAGTACTTGGACATGGTAGACACGAAGCGCTGCAGCTGGAACACGATGTCCTGGACTGGGGCGGGAGGGGCCGAGACGCGGTGGCTGTGGCTGCCAGCCCCGCACCAGGCCTGCCCGAGGCCCTCCCTCAGGCCCCTCACTGAACCCAGGGGTGGAGGTAAGTGCTGCCAGGCCAGACATAGCGTCAGCACAGGGGAACCCGGGACCCCTACTCCTAGGCCGGGGGCAGAGAAGCCTGCATCGTGAGTGAACTGTGGCCTTCGTCTCGTGGAACCAGGCCAGGGACAGTCCTTCACCCTGGGCTCAGGGCCTCAGTTTCCCCAGCGCTGAAGCGGGGTGCCCGCCGGACTGCACTGGTGAGGAGCGCCTGAGGCCGCAGGCCGTCAGCCTGCCCGGCGCCCAGGCTGCCCACTCACCGTGCTTCTGGTCCAGCAACTCCATCTTCTCCAGCACGTCCTTGCGCATCTGGGAGAAGCGGGCGCGAGCCTCCTGGCGGCAGCGCAGGATCAGGCGGTACTCGTAGTTGCCGGTGCTCACCCGGTACAGGGGCTCCCCGAGGGCCTGGAGTCGGGGGGAGCTTATGAGCAAGCCCGGCCAGGAGGCCCTGCTCAGGGACAGGTGGGGGCAGGGCCAGGCAGGCCTCAGAGCAGCCCCTCGGCTCCCGGCCTGCAGCTCACTGCGCCTCTCGGAGCCGTCCTGGCTCCTGGTTTCTGAGAGGCAGCAAGTGTTAGAAGCACCCAGCAAGAGCTCTGGAGGAAGAAACACCGCCCAACAATCCAGACCCCTGCCACCTTCAGTCAACCCACATTTGGTCATAAGGTGTGGCCCGATACCCCGAATATTAAAAATCAAATAAAGACACAGCTCCTCTGAGGAGGGAGGAAGGTCAGAGTTTTCCCTGAAAAGTCTCCCAAGGTCTGGGGGTGGGGGCAGGGGAGGACCCAAAGCCAGCAGGGCCCACACCAGGGCCAGGATGGGAGCAATGGCCCCGACTCTCCGGGACAAGGGTCCAGCCAAGCCCCCAGGCCTCCCTCAAAGTGGCCTGACCCACCTGGGGTCCCTGCAGGCTCAGGACACTCTGGGGGTTCTGGGAGGCAGGGATTGAGGGATGTGCACCCCAAGCCTTCCCCATGCCAGGGCCGGGCCCCCTGCACCATGTGTGACACTCACCACGCAGCTGTACTCCTCGTCATCCATCTCCTTCACCTTCAGGCAGTATGACTGTGGACAGTGTAGACAGGCTGTCAGAGTGGCTACAGCCTCCTAGATGCCACCCAATGTCCCCACATTGTGCCCCAGGCCACCCCAGGCTACCAGATGCAACTGAAAGGAGCAGCCAGGCCAGGCCCCCTGGGCCTGCAGACACTCAGCTGGGACAGGGAGGGATGGGGGGAGTAACTTGCTTGGACTAGGCTGTGCTCTGGGGCCTGGGGAGGGGTGGCAGAAGGCGGGGGACACTCAGCTGGGAGGGTGGGCAGGGTCTGGGGCCTGAGCATTTGCCAAACTCAAGTTCCAAGAGACATTCTAGAGAAAACGGGATCCGTGGCCAGAGGTGGTGGGACGCCCCTTGAAGACACACTGTGCACAGCCCATCAAAGGCTCTGAGAAGGCCCGCAGCAGGGGAGCCTCGGCTTGTTTAGTGGAGCATTTTTCCTCAGCTTCTTTGACCAACAAACTTTATTTCAAACATAAGTCCATCAAGATTGCTTGGCACCCGACTGTCCACCACTCACCTAGCCTGAGCCTGTTGTTCATGGTGATGGGGAAACCCAAGGGGAGGGCCCTGCCCACCCTGGGTGTTCAGCCTCCTGGAGGTTCCTTGGAGCACCCCCGGACCTCCAGTCTCACGCCCTCAGATGAGGTGGAGGCCCCGCACATCCTGCTGGCCAGGTGCTGTCGACTGAGCGGGCTAATTCCCCGGGGTGGGCTCACTCCGCCGGCCAGGCTCCATCTTCCCAAGGGCCCACAGACCACTCACCAGGTACTCAAACTTCACATCCAGGTACTTCTTGATGGTGAGGCGGGTGTCTGGGATGGCTTTGTTGAGGTATGTGTTCAGGTCTGTCAGCATCTGGGAGGGGTGGGGGAGTATGCTAAGGCCACATGGCCAGGCTGGGGAAGGGTGATAAAGTGACACTGATGTGTCGTAACTCCCAGGGGTCTCAGACCATCAAAGCTGAAGGGCACTACAGATGGCCTTGTCCATTTCAAAGATGAGGGGAATGACGCCAGGCGCCAGCCTGGACCCACACAAAGCCCAAGGAGGTGGGCGGCTTACCTGGTCAGCTGGGGTCAGTGGGTGACCGACTCTAACCCAGGGCTCTCTTGCAGGCCACACTGGCCCCTCTCCACCCTCGCACACATGCTCAATGGCACCTACCGGCTTGACGGTTTTCAGCAGGCGGATGCCAAACTTCTCGATGCTGCGGTGGGCGTCGGCAAACTTCACAAAAGCTTCACTGGCGGCTGGCTGGGGCTCCCGCACCCCGATCACAGAGAACACATCCCCAAAGGCTGCGCAACAAGTCTGCCTTGGAGGCCACTGCACCTGGACCTCCTAAAGGAGATGCCAGGGGCTTGTGGGGAGAGGAGGGAGCGGCAGGGCTGGGTGCCTGGCACACTGGAGGCCAAGGTCTGTGTGAGGTCCACACCCAAGAGAGCTGGACCCACACCCCGAGGGAGCTCGGTCTACACCCTCAGGGAGCTTAGTCTATACCCCAAGAGAGCTGGGTCCACACCCTGAAGAAGCTTGGTCTATACCCTCAGGGAGCTTGGTCTACATCCCGAGAGGGCTGGGTCCACACCCGAGGGAGCTGGGTCCACATCCCAAAAGAGCCGGTTCACACCCCGAGGGAGCTGGGTCCATACCCCAAAGGAGCTTGGTCTATACCCTCAAGGGAGCTCAGTCTACACCCTGAGAGAGCTGGGTCCACACCCTGAGGGAGCTAGGTCTACACCCTGAGGGAGCTGGGTCTATACCCTCAGGGAGCTGGGCCCATACCCTCAGGGAACTGGGTCTACACCCCGAGAAAGCTGGGTCTATACCTTCAGGGAACTGGGTCTACACCCCAACAGAGCTGGGTCCACACCCTCAGGGAACTGGACTACACTCCAAGGGAGCTGGGTCCACACCCCGAGGGAGCTGGGTCCACACCCCTAGGAAGCTGGCCTTCATTCCCCAGATGACCAGACCACAGACAAGGCTAGGTCAAGGTTTGAGGAGCCAGCCTTGTCTGAGGACAGGGCCGGGCCTGGCCTGGGAATCGGGACACCCGAGTTCTAATGTTGCTCCACCCCTCAGGAGCTGTGCAACCATCTCCTCTGTCTGGCCAAGTGGGGTTCACGGTGCCTGCCCTGCCCAGCTAATGGCCCTGTGGGGAGTGAGGTCAAGGACAAGGATGTGCCTCGCGCACTGTCAATGGCACTGCACACGGATGGTACAGGAAGGGCCGAACAGGCAGCTGGCCCCAAGAAGGCCGTCTGGTCCAGAGGTTCCTCACCATACCTGTCTGTTGCTACGTCCCCTGCATCTAAGACAGCACCCAGCCTGTGGACAGAGCTCAGTGCGTGTTGTGGGACGGAAGGGGTGGGGTGGATGACTGCACCAGGGCCAGCTCCCGTGTGGCGCGCCCTCAGGGGCACTGCTCATGCTGGTTGTGGCCTGCAGAAACTGACTCCACACCTGGACACCTGGTCAGGCTTGCATGAGCCCCAGGGGGACCCAGCTCAGGGCTAAGCCCACAGCAGACACTCCCCGAATGACCAGGTATAAAGAGCTGGCAGGGAGGAACCAGAGAGCAGAAAATGGGGAATCTAAGAGCCATCATGCAACAGGGACCCACAGTGGCCGTGCTCAGCCACACACCGTGTGAGAAACCCTGAGAGCTCAGCCACGCTCCCACCGGACAGCGGTCACCGGGGCTCAGCTGGCAGGTTTGGGGGAGACGGGACAGGGACAGACACGCTCTTACCCCGGTGCGTCTGCGACAGCTCATAGAAGGCCCGCAGGAGGCTCTTGGTGTGCTCCGTCATCCCTGTGGAGACAGCGACCCCTTCTCCAGCCCCCACCCCTAACCCGAGGCCATCGCTGGTCTGGGTTCCCTGGCTTGTCCTATGACCCCACTAGGGCCTAAGGCTGAAGGCTCAGCTGTGGCCCTGGTCCCACCTGAGCCCCTACCAGACAGGGTGCCAGGACTGTGAAGGTCGCAGGGGTGGTCAAGGTGGCAGAGCTTTATTTCTGGGGGGACGCCACATCCATATGTACTATTATTGCGGTTTTTATGGGTATGTGTTGCTTCTATAGTCAGAAAAAGTATGTGTCTTAAAGAATTTCTCAAGGCCATGGCCCTAGAAGGCTGTAGGCTGGCATTCCTGGCCCTACTGCCTCCTGCTCTATACCGGGGCTCTCCAGGCCCAGGGCAGTGGCCCCGCACCCTGCAGGGCTACCAGCCGCAGGCGCGGTCCACCCACCTTTGTACAGCTCGGCCGTCCGCTCCAGCTCCTCCAGCCTCTTGACAAGGCCATCTGCGGGGACCCAGAGAAAAAGGGGTCAGTCGGGCTCAGCAAACCAAGGGGGAGAAGTGGCCAAGGGGACCCCAAGCCAGATGTCTGCAAGAAGAGGCAGCTCCCTCGATGAGCCCTGATCCCAGGAGGGGTTTGGGACCTCAGGGTCAGTAGGTTCACAGGTGTTTTGTAAAGAGCCCACACTAAGAGGTGAGTGGGGGGCAGGCAGGGCTGCCCTCATCTGGAGATGAGCCCCCACCACAGCAACCTGGGGCAACTCAAGGGGGCAGATGGGTGATGATGACTCAGGGACTTTTGAAGGTCGTAAGTGAAAAGCCCTAAGACTCAAACCTGTCAGGGGCTTCCTGAGGCCCATGGGACGGAGTCCCTTGCCTGGCAGTCAGGTGCTTCTAACACAAACCTGACCAGTAGCCAAGGAGGAGTCAGGAAGAAGCAGAAAGGATAACATGGGTCAGAGATCACTAACGCCAGCCACACGCGGTCACTGCAGAGGTTACTGTCAGGTGCCGCCTCAGAAGGGAGGGCAGTTCAGGGAGGGCTTCGAGAAGTACTCGTGTGGAAGGGAGGCTTGGTGATCATGTTTCTGTAGCAAGTGTTCACTGAGCACCTACTATGCGCCACAGTCCGGGCTAGGCCTGGAGCATGGGGGAGGGCTGGCAAGACCAACCAGGGCCAGATCCCTCGGGGCTGCCCTTGCACTGTGTTTGGGACCTCTGTTCCAATGAGGGCAAGGTGCTACCACCTCCCCACTGGAGCCCCAGAGGGACTAGAGGGCATGCCAGTGGCTTCCATCCCAGATGACAATTCAGTCCTCAGAAACTTGTGGAGCAGGGACCACCCTGATTCTCAGACAAGGCCAAGGGACAGAGAGAAAAGGCCATACAGCCGGGGACTGTCCGGCACGGACCTCTCCACACAGTCCCCAGCTCCGACCTCGCTGGGGCTTTCTGGGTGGGAGAGGAGGAGGAGATTAGGGAGGTGGCGTCTGGGTCTTGACTCTGGGCAGGGGAGGCAAGTGGGTGCTGGGGCTGCTGCAGGAGGACGGCTCGGGCTCTGGGGGGAGGAAGGGGGCGCTTGGGGTCCTCGGGGAGCTTCAGCCACCCTGGCTGGCCTCAAGGCCCCAGCTTGTGTGCACGCTGCAAGGCCAGAGCCACGTAAGCACTGTGCTGTTGTTTTTAGCTGGGTCATGGGATATCATGACAGATTCAGTTTTAGAAACACTATTTAAGGCTGGGGAAATTGCAAGGTTCGGGGAAAAACACAACCACCAGTTCTAATTTCATCTCAACGCGTGGTAACTACAGTAACAGGGATTCATAGGCCCCAGAGGATGGAAATAGCAGCCACCACTCTGGTCCCATTCGGAGTGGCTCAGGCCCTACCCCCAGCTCCCCAGCCAGTGAAGTGTCGCTGTGTGTGCCCAGACGAGGGCACTTCACGTAGGTGTTTATCCCCTGCCTCGCACGAGGAGCGCTGCTATTTATAAACTTGGGCTGGTGATGGGAGAACAAGACCATGGTTAATGACCACCAAGAGGTGACATGTGTGTGTGTGTGTGCACGTGTGTGTACATGGCTTTTCCCCCTGCTGCGAGGCGCGCAGCCACCTCCCAAGCCCTGGGCAGAGCTTCTGAGACGCGGCAGCAGCGCCACCTCCTGGAGAAAGGCAGGGCCATGGTGGCCACCCAGGAGCGATGTGGGTGCTGAGGTGAGGGTTGGGATGGGCACATGGAGGTGGTGGTGGGGCTGCAGCCCGAGGTGAGAGCAGCCTGGGTGGTGGGGAAGGCCTGCCTTCCCTGGCTCAGGGGGTTGGAAGCAGACCCCTCCCACTCTGCATCTCAGTTTCCCTCATCTGTGACCTGGGCCTCTGAATCTCTGCAGGGCACTGACTGGGAATGAAGGCAGCTGAGCTGACATCTGTGGACACCTGGGGGATGCTAAGAGATGGAGACTACTGCCCCCGAGGCAGAAGTCAGGCCCATGCCAGGGGGACCCGCTCTGGCTTGGTGGGTAGCCATGGTGCTCGTGTGGCCGGGGCCGAGGCTGAGTGGGAGGAAAGGACTCACCATTGCACAGGATGGCCCTGCTCAGCCCCAGGGCATCTGCAGTCCCTGAACTCATGCCCTCCACCAGCCGGTGCTTCACCTTCTTCAACACTAGGGCCACGAGAGAGAAAGCTGGGGGTGGCCCCTGCGCTGGCCCCCAGGCCATCCTGACTCACTGGGAGCAGCCACTGGGGCAGAAGGGGCTCAACGGGAGCCTGGCACTCGGGTGATCTATGAAGCAAGGGGTCCCCCAACAGGGGGTGCTGGGCCCCACCTCATTCATTCCTCGCAGAGGTGGGCAAGGAAGAGAGGAGGTAAATATACAAAGGCCTTCTCCAGGCCTGGCATGCAGTGCCAGCTCTCGGCCATTAGGGGCCTAGAGTGGCCTGGGCTCAGCACAGCTGACAGCTCCCAGCCAGTCTCTTGCCCTGCCCGCTCCAGGTGCTAACCCGGGGCATCCAGGTATGAAGGGGAAGGGAGCAGCGGGGAAGGGTCGATCCCCAGCTGGGGACATCACAATAACGGGAAAAGTGACAGAAGACTCAGACCCAGATTCAGTTTGGGTAGAGGACCGGGCTTCTGGAGGCAGTATCTCCAGGACAGACCCTGCCCTTACAAAGTGGGAGGTGCTCTGACCCTAGGGGCAGGAAAGGCCACTGGGCTCCAGAGACAAGAAACCTGGAACACCCTTCAGGGCACAGCCCATCTGGGGTCTCAGGCCTTATCTGTTAGGTCAGCCCTCAAGGCTACTGCCCAGCTCTTGAGTTTTAAAGTTTCTACACAACCCAGCTCCAGTGTCCCCAGTGGGAGGCACCCTGCCCCACCCAGAGGGTACAATGGGAGCAGAGGGCTAGCCCGTGAGCTCAGTCCTGGCCTGAGCTCCAAGTCAGCACTCAGCCCTCCTGGGAGCTGCCGGGTAGAGAAGAGGCCACAGAGGGTGTGGTAGGTTGGAGATGCCAGGCCAAGGTCAGGCTGCACCTCCTTTCTGAAGGTGAGGCCCTGGGCCTGGGGAGGCTGAGGAGCTGGCCCACCAAGGACAACCTTAGACAGCAAGTTCCCAGAGGGGAGGCCATGGGGTGGGGAGAACACAGGCTGAGACACCAGGGGTAGGCCCCTGAGAACCACTGCAGCGAGAGAGCCTGGTCCTCCCAGGCCTTCTGAATCTGCCTGACCAGGGAAGGTCAGAGGACTCAGCCTGTGACTATCAACAGCATGGTCGCAAAGTGGTAAAACAGGTCACTCAGGCCCCGCTCACCAATGTCCAGGGACATGCCCTGCTTGGGGTCCGCCTGCAGCTTGTTGTAGTGGATGGTCACCTCCCCCTGGAAGAGCAGGACAGGCAGAGTTGTGACGGAGCCTCCTGGACCCTGAGCCCCACCCAGCGAGGCCTGCCGGTCGCAGAATCTGTGGGTCATAAGAGCATCCTGGGCTCCGGTCAGGGGACAGAGCAACAGTGAATTTGGCCCCAGTGGGCAGAGGGCTGTGACAGAGCCGTCAGCTCCTGGCCCTCCCTTCTCTACTCTGTGCCAGGCACTGGACAATCAGAGGAACAGGGGTGGACACAGTCCAGCTGTCACGGAGCACACAGTCTAGTGGTCTCTGACGTCCTGTGCTCCAGCCGGACTGGGTGCCCCTGCCCTGCACAGCACACTGCAGGCCTCTGTACCTTCCCCACAGCAAACGGTCCCTCTCGCTCAGTCACAACCCCCCATTCAGCCAATGGGCATTTCTGAGGACATTCTCTGTGCCTGGGGCTGGGTGCCCCAGGCCCCGCAGGCCCAAGTCCAGGAGGGGGGCCAACACACATGACGGACTGTTCAGAAGTGGCTCTGAGAGGTGCATGGTCTGTCCTAAGATGCCCTCCCTGACTCCTCTCCCCTGCACTGCCAAGGCCCTGGAGCTAGGGACTGAATCCATTCAAAGACAAGACAGGATTTAAACAAGTGAGCCCTGAAGGGAAACCAGAGTGACCGGACGCAGGTTCTGTCCTGGAGAAGCTCCAAGTCAGGGGTAGGATGTAAGACACTTCCCCAGAACGCAGCACAGAGTGTGCCGGGGCCACCTCCAGGGAGCCGCTGAGCGTAAAGGAAGGGCAGTGCAGTGGTGGCCCAAGCTGGGCTCGAATCACTGCCTCCCTGGGGGCAGCAGGACACGGGACGTCTGCCCACTTCCAGCAGCAGCTCTTACCTTCACCTCCTGAATCATCTTGGCCACCTCCACCTTAGTCTTCCCTTTGATTGACCTGCCGTTGACACCGGTGATCTCATCTCCAGCGGCCACCGTGCCGTCCAAGGCTGCCGGGGTGTTGTCAAACACCTGGGGTGCAGCAGGAAGGTGCAGGGGCAGAGAAGAACTGAGGGGGAGCCAACGGGGGAGGCATGTCATCCCTCCACCCCGGGCCCCAGCTCAGCCCTGCCCACTTCTCCTCCAGTCTCCAGGAGGCGCTCGAGAAGCCCAAGGGTCAGAAGCCCCTCCACAGATGTCCTCGGATCCTCAGGTCCTCCTTGGGAGGAGGCGAAGGAGGCTGAGCTTACGCAAACAGATGAGACCTTCCTTTCCTAACATCCAAAACACCAAACCTCCCCGGCCCGTGTGACTGTTCACTCCTCCAAAGTCATTTCTTTGATAGGTTTTTCCAAGCATGCTGCTCCGAGTTGACGTGGAGACCAAAGCACCTCTGTTAGTTCCTGTGCCTCGCTGCAGGCCCCAAAGGGCAGCCCAGCACTGCCCTGGGCACAGGCCCCATGTGCATCCCAGCCTTTTCTCTAGGAGAGCCCGGCCGCAGGGCAGCACTCACTGTCTGTGAGCCTGGGTGTGTGCGACAAGGGTTAGCTACGTGGGTCACACTTACGATGGGACGGAAGGCTATGTAAGTGTGTGAGATAGGCACAGAATATAAAAATGATGCCCAGAGACTCTCATTCACTGCCGGTGGGACTGTAAAACGACAGAACCACTATGGAAAGCAGTATGGTGAGTCCTTAAAAAGATGGAATGACAAATACCATTTCATCCAGCAATCCCATAACTAGGTACATATCCTAAAGAAGTGAGCCAGGACAAGAATAGATATATGTATACCCAGGTTCACCGCAGCACTATTTACAATAGCTGAAAGATGGAAACAACTTAGTGTTAGGCGGGAGCATGGCTGGCCAGGCGGGTGTATGATTAAGCCAGAGGGAATTACAAGAACTGGTCAAGCAAGGAAATGCCTGACCAGAGCCCATACCAAACCCCAGCATGTAACCCTTATGAAAGACCCCAGCACCTGACTCTTACTCACGAAAGCCCCCAACCATTTCCTGCCCACTATGTTAATGAAGTGCTTCAAGCTCTACTTCCTGCCCCCATGCTAATAGGGTGCTTTAACCTTATTGGTTCCTGTAACACATACCCTGCTCTCAATCCGGTCCACTGAGGAACAGGAAAAGTAACACTATAAAAACCCTTTTCTTGAGATTGATGAAAAAGAAATAAGAAAATCAATACCTTTCTCAATAGCTACCAAA